TAGTGATCATTATCAACACGAGCGAACATTACATATATGAAATAAAGGGATGCAGATGCTCTGCCGTAAAATCCACTAACGTCGATCAGTCATTTAAGACATATTGCATCAAAAGATCCTTGTACATTCAAATAAAACGCGCCTCACCTTATGACAAAAACATCGCTAACTTTACATACCATACTGCTAATAGCATGGATCCAACGCTTCTTGCAGCCATCTTCTTATAAGAACAATATACGTTTCTACTCAGGACAACTAAAAACATGATACATTCGACCCGATTCACTATGCCAGTTATTCACAGACCATCACCGATCTTTTTTGGCCCACATCTGATTTTTTGTTTTGTTTGTTTTACCAATAATGATATCTGTGTTTGTTAATGATTTTAAAACTTAAGATTTCACACTGCATACAGCGTTGACTGATGGTTTGACGGTATCGGCACTGAACTGATATATTTATTTAGTTCAAGGAAGGATATATCTGAATGATTAACATCCGGCATTTGCGATTCCATTATTACGCCTTTGGTTGACGCAGTTTTCATGTCCCGTAAACGGTTGTCTAGAATTTTTATATTCACAGCATATTATTCCTACTGTCTATCATGAAAACTACTTCAGACAAAGTGCCCTCAATTAAGGGATAATAAATCACACACACGATCATGCTTATCAAACCTACAATAAAGTACTCACGAACTGCTAAGTCATACATCACTGTTTGACTGAAAACATTTCACAGAAAAGTTAGCAGGCAAAAACTTTCAAGAAAATACAATTACTGGTTGTTCAATTTTGACGCTTTAAGCTCTCTAAGCGGGATGATGGATGACTTGTTAAAATATTGAAACGGAATAGATTTAGTAGTTTATTGTATTTTGATTATGGTAAGAGGGTCATTCGGTAAAAGCAAGAAACAGAACTATGCATGGAAGGTTGCTTTTCATGCTTTACACCAAGTTGAGAACTAGTAAAAAAAGTCTTGCAATAAGCAAAGTAATGAATGACAAAAGTTTGAACTAATTAGAAACTAATTAGCCGTGGATTGCTTGTCAGCGGTGTAATGTCACTTTTAGCTACGAGAAAAGACTTCCTATAGCTTTGCGTTCCACTCTATAACCTCTCTCAATAGTTGTAACAATGTGCCGAACTTTATTGTATATTTGTTTTATTTTTGAGTAATCGCTGTTCAAGATTTTTGTTGCGCCGATAGGGCAAACGACTCGTTGTGGAGACTTCGATGTACTTAAAAACTGTGACATATATTGAGTACTTCTCCAACACTTTTGTTGTATCACAACGTAAGAATTACAAGCTATTTGACCTGTTTCACAAGCTATTTAACATACTTATTATTCTACACCACTTGTTGACGTTTGCCCATGCTCTGTATCACAGTATTCAAGTAAAAGTCACGTCCGTACGACATGCATGCAACATGCCAAAAATTTACTTTATCACACAACGACCTTGTAACTCGCATATGCTTCAGATGAATGCATGGCTGCAAATATTTCAAAAACGCTCGCGACTTATATACGTCCTGTTTTGAGGTTTGTGGGCGACTACGAAATGACATTTTTTATACCCGTTCGATCCTCCCTGAAAGTTTCGTAGCGGTTGCCATCAGGAACTCATCCAGCTTTCCTTGTTCAGTAAATCTTCTGCGATTCGTGGTTTTACATTCGCACCAGTTCTGAAATCATTTACAAAGCTTTCGTCGCCAGTTCTGCATGGCAGTAACTATCACTGCGAGGATAAAATCTGTAAATTTGAATATTTTCATTAACCAGATTTTATTCCCACCAAAACTAAGTCCAATTTAGTTCCATCTTCTCCCTGTGATTAACATGCAAATGCACGTCTAAGTATTTTGCTGCTGGTGGTGTTTTTGTTACCAGTCCTTTTGATCTGAATTTAATCTGATCTCGAATTCTGTCGTGGCATAGAAGCCAGGGTTTGGTCAACACACTGGCCGCCTTTATAAATGATACTATGAGTTTGATGGAGAATACTCCCAAGGATAGATAGATCCTTGGTTATCCTACACTTCTTCTTCTACTACTACAAGCTCTCGAGGGGACTTTCGACTAGACGGTATTTTAAGAGCCCCGTTGCTAGAAATATACTAGACATTTACAATTATTTATACTTTCTTCGGGACAGGAACACGGGTCCAACGATAAGGCAGCTGGCACCACTAGCTACCATATCTATCAAGATAGCTAGTTTTGCTGACTTGTTGTTGATTTTTTTTCCAATGGCGGGCACTTGGCTATGTTGGCATCGGACGCTCCTAATAGGTGAGCCACCTTTGTCTCCTATGAAGGGACAGACAATTACACTCATGCCTTCTCCGGGATTCGAACCCGGGCAGTCAGGCTCCCTTAACCACTATACCGTCTGGGCGGCACTTGTTGTTTAACTTGTTATGCCAAAGCGTGTGAAGACTAATAGTCTAAGGGAGGAAGGGATGCTTGTTCGTGGAGGACTTTACTACGTCCTTAACAAGAATATGCTTCAAACGTTTCAAAGCGGTAACTATAAAAAGTCTGCATTTTCTTTGTTTCAGGTAGTAAACTAATCCAAATACTCCAGTATTTCTCCATACAGATTGCAATCGCAATTTATTACACATCTTGATTTTGCCTTCAAAATTTATATCTGCTATCCTTGAGACTAAAAATATTTTCTTAGTGCTAAATATGAATTATTTTTTTAATACTGCAGCTAAGCAAACTGATTATGTAGCATTATCTCCAGAGCGATCTTGTAACAATACTCTTTCGGCAAACTGAGCTTTTTGCCTGAAAGCCTTCGCGAATATAAAAGAGAACAGGTAGCAGTTTGCCATGCAGTCAATATCTGAACTCGAAGACTAAATACAATCATCATCAAGAATTAAACTGGCAGTGCATATGTCTGAAATGCATAAATTTAGAAATATTTGTTGGCAGGTTTTAACAGTATTAATACAAAAATTGTGTTAATATTTTCACAAAAAAGAGCATTATAGTGTACATATAATTAATTATTTATAATGGTGTCAGTCATAAAAAAGTCATATGAGAAGTTAAACTTGAAAACATACTTTTAACAAATTGTAATATTTTCCAAGATTACTGCCACGTATAGTTTTGACTGTATACGAACGTAATTCAAATATAGTAGAATTTTACTCGTTTTTGTCTTTCTATCCTTATTTTTATATCAGCAGCGTATCTCGGAAGTTTCCGGAACTGAAGTATTTCAAAAGAAATTGGAAAGGTACCGAAAAAAGAATGTTGCGAATAAGCTTATCGTATGCAAATGCTTGACTGATGTATGTCTTGTTTATGTAAGGAATTCCCCGAGAGGTGAATATCATTTCAAAGGCTTCCCCCCCCAAAAAAAAAAGGTAAAAACTTGAAAAACGTTGTAATAGCAGATAAATATAAATATTACGAGGATAAACAACCTCTAAAATAAGTTTTAATGAATTCTCATTTCGGAGTACCGCTCCTACCTCAACGTTTTCACGGATGGATTCATTCATGTTGCAAATTTATTAATCTAATTGTTAGAATGGTACTAAATAATTACAAAATAACTAATCTGAATTATTTTTAATTGCATGTTTTATTTCAGTTGTTTTCTTTTCTTGTTCAAGTCGAATCTTAAACTTTTAACCTGATTCTAAGGATCAGATTTGACATTTTTATAACTTTTATTTATTTATTAAATTAAAGTGTAACAAAAGTTTGTGAAAACAATGGTATATTTCGCAGGAATGTTTTTCAAAAATCCATATAAATCCCCCCTTTTTCCCCAATTTGGCGGTGAATTTTCTCCCGATTTGTCATTTAAGATGAAACGAATCATACCAAAATTTCGGTTTTTGTAGCGTCGAATAAATGGAAAAATAATCTTCCGGGAATATCTAAATTAATTTATCCAAATCTGGCGGTAATTGTTACTGTTAACAGTATTAGATTTTTATAACAAAAGACTGATTCTTCCATTGTTAACGTACTCACAATTTTAAGTAATGATAAGCTGGATATCTAAATCAAATAGAAATTTTAATGAATGTAATTTTGAAGGAGTAATATTCATACTTCCTGAAGTAGTGGTTTTATTTATTACTTTTTGCAGTCTATAACCAAAAAGAGTATCATAAAATTCATAAAAATTTTTAAATTACACTGTTTTAATTATTCAATGCATTAAAGGTAAAAAGTAATTTTTTGGCTATTATATTATTCTTGATCATATATAATTGAAATTTAAATCATCGAGCTCCCACATACAAATTGTGTGAGAAGATTAACTTAGTTTCAAAGAACATTGGAAGCAGTAGTATACAAATGACATACATGACAACGATTACATTAAACACAGTTTAATTTTCTTTGGCGATTTTAATTTAAAAATCATTTACTGTTTCCATTTACATTTTTAGTTAAATATAACCAATTCATGATATCTAATTTTTTAAATTTTTAGTGCATTTATTTAAGCAGTGTAATTTAAAAGATTATACATTTTTTCTTTAATTTTCCACATAAGAATTAAAAAAAAAAAGACAAAAAATATTTATTTACAGTAAATAACAACAAACAATTTACAATAAATAATCTCCCCCCCCCCTTAAGAAAATATTTTTCTAGAAAAAAAAGGTCGACTTAAGTACTTGCAATTCTAATAAACAAATTATTACGTAACATAAGAAAACTAATTATTCCAAATAACTTTTACAAATATTCTCGAATGGAGTAACATTGGTAACATGTATAGATTTTTTAACGCGCATTGCTTCGTATAATACAAAAATAATAAAACGATAAATAATCTGCTAATTTTTGTTTCTAAACATTTCACGGGTGAAAAAAAATGACTTGAAAAGGTGAAGGTGTACGAATAGCAGCTGTAAACCTAAAAATATGCACAGCGCTTCACACATGAAGATATGTAATACCAATCCACACTTCAATCAAAAAAAAAAAATCTTACCTTTCTCGAAGTTCTTTCAGTTTCACCACTGCGTCCGCAATGGATGTAATATGCTGGTCTTGGTCGCATGGCTGATTATCTGTCATTTCAGTGCACAGAATAACCCGAAGCGAAATGATTCCAAACAAAATTTGATTATATGTGGATCGATGTCCGAAGGACCACTCCAATATTTTTGCGCAGGAAAAAAAAAATAATAATAATAATAACGAAACTAAATAAGTTTAAGTAATCGAGACGGATGTAATAATGATTTGGCGCTTACATATTAAATTGTCATAGCAAAATCAACAAAACCTTGCGCTAAAGTAAGGAATAGTTTTTCAGTTCAGCATGACAACAAACAGCAGACGACCCGCGCAACCTGTTTCAACGAATTTATATCGATTAAGTTTCTGTCGGTATCTCGGAAACAACTCGGTCTACAGGCTGCATTTAAAATTTCAGTCATTTAAATAAAAGGAACTTCAAAAATGCATTTAAAAAGCGCTGAATATTTTTTTTTTTTCGCCTCCGAAAGAAGATATCCCGAAGTGATAACAGAAGTAGAAATCCGTTAACACTGATGCTCAAGAACGGAATGAGCAGAAAATGACAACTAGCACTGAAAATCGCTGCTCATCGCCAACCATCCACACAAAATCGCCAAGTTGGGCGAAAACAATTTTTTAGGTGGAAGTTCCACTTACCTTAATATATTCGGCAAACCTGTTCCGCGAGCATGTTTCTTTTCTGGGCAAAAAGATCAGTGGAAGTTCCTTCGTGGCTCTCTGTTCGGGAAATAGCTCATATTTCCTCAGATGTGGGTAATAACGTATAAATGTGACACGCTGAAGATATAACAATTACTTTGGAGAAAAAGCTCATCTTTTAATGGCAAATTCATTTTTACTTAAGATTCATGGTTATTATTTTCATCACTTCTTTCAGTTAATTCATTGTTGTCGCGTTAGGTTAAGCCAGGTGCAATAAAGTTGAATTAAGATAATATAAAATTTATTGACAACTAATTAACATGGTAAGACGTTTTGTGCAGGAAAGGTTGAGTAACAAAATCCTGTGTCATAAACCATTTATTAATATTATTATTTCATTTACTTCACAAACCATTTGAGTTTTGATTGAGTATGACAAAGCACAGGGGGCCACAGGAAGGCCTATTTACTTGGGTGACCAAGCTATAATAAAAATATTTCTTCTTTCTTTTATTCATCTAACTATCAACAAGCCGCAGGCGATCAAACACAGATACATCTTTTTCAAGAGTGAGAGGGAGGAACTACAGATTTTTTTTTTTCGCTCCTGAAAAAAAGAGCTCTGTCTGATTATCCTTGAAAATTAAGCTGAAATAAGATTGCTATTTATACCTAATTTTTAACAATTTAAGTTTTACTCTGGCGTGTTTCTCTTCCTATTTCATTAATATGCCAGTCAGCTTAAGAGAAATTTTCTTAATAGATAGAAATTCTCTACATCACTTCAAGTTCTACCATCATTATTTATTTGAAAAATAAAGCTTAAAATCAGAACACGGAGGCAAATTTTCCAAAGTAATACATTAAAACAAAACCCTAAAAATAAATTATTTACCAAAATCCAGTTATTATAACGGTAAAGAAAAGCTATATTAAATGATGTATAAAAATTATATCGAAAAATTAAAATTACTCGGAAGAGTCACAATCCGCGTAAACTTTAAAATACATGGGGAAATACCAATTACTAAAAGAAAAAGCTTTTCCTCCCTTCGAAATTTCTCCGCCCCCTATGCAGTTTAGTTTTATATTTATCGGGTTATATAGAGTAATGGCCGAGTGCATAAGGAAACTAAACACTGGTTTACGACCTAATTTTCACATCTCGACTAATGATCTCGTCAAATGCGATTTTCCACAAGTTTAACAAGAATGCAAGCCGGTTTGGCTTAAAAAGTACTCCGCGAAAGCTCACTTTCTTTAGGTAGACAACCCTTATGTGTTTTGTCTAAATTAATTGGCCTGATCTAAGCTCACCTGCATAAATAACGAACCTGAATAAAATTAACTACGGAGTTTCCAAATTTCTTTCGATTCACGGCTTTTTGAGTCAAAATTAGAAGGTTCAGTAGTAAACTGGCCTCGCCACAAAATGATAATTTTACAGGAGAAAAGGACGCAAGAAGAAGAAGAATGGAATATTAAGTCATTTAAAATTAGACAAAACAGCAGTGTTATTCTGACGTAAATTTTAAATAAAACTCTACCGCTTTCGAGGATCCTTCTTCTTCAGGAGCAAAAAAGTTCTGTTAAATTATTATGTCATTAATAATGAGTTTAAATGAACGTAACATAAATAAAGAAATAGTACATATTCTGTATACATCAGTATTTGCAAAAAGAGCATCAACTAAATTCAGCGTTAAATTATCCGTAATTCATACTAAGTTCAAAGTTAAGTGTTCCATGTTTAAAAAAATTGCATATAAATGCCGCTTAATGAGTATCTTTAGTGTATCTAAGCGCATTATAGTACAGACAGGTTGCGAAAGAGAGATTCGAATTCTATATACTGTTGTACTGTAAAGGGAATTACTGATTACAACAATCAGTGTACAGTTATCAAGAGTCAAATTTTAGAGAATGGGTATATTTTTGTGGTTTGGTTGATTTGTTTGATTACGGAAAAGCCCAGTAGGGCTATCTGCATAAGGAAAGGGATGCCTTCGTGGAAGACTTTTAAAGGGAAACTGGCTCGTGTACACGTACACATGGGGAAAACCAAGATCTCTCTAAAAGATTAGTTTGAATAGTCCATTAGAATCGCATTATTTTATTTATTTGATTTTCAGAAATAATAATAATTAATTGTTTATGCAAATAAGTATCCTTCCATCGAGAGTGCTTTTACGGCGTTGCAAGTTAGACCTTTTTTTACCTCAAACACTTGTAAACGCTTAATGGCTGTAGAAGAACTTTAACATGATATGTCCAATTAAAAAAAAGAATTTAATCATTATTTCTAAAATTTTATACATCTTAAACAGAACTGCATGTTTTCATTGCATTATTTGAAAACTGATAGTTTTCGAAACTTTCAGGATTGCTAGTTATGGCTAATTTTTTTCATTATTTTTTCTGTCAATGATGCCACCAAGAAATGGATTATTGATTTGAATTCTTTAGATTATGGCAAAACACATGAGGGCTATCTGAAGGGAGGGATCCCTTCCAGAAAGGCTTTTACAGAAGAAACTGGCTAGTATTCATCTTACATATGTGGAAAACCACGAGAACTCCCATGCGGCCAGCCTTTGAGTCCGAGTCGAACTACCAGTATTCAGCGATTTTATTGCTCAGCTATTGTTGGAACTGCTGCTAAGAAATGTGTTTGAAGAGTTTTTAGAAACATTCGGAATATCTGCTTCATGGAATTTGCATTTTGAATAGTTTCCTTTACATCTTACTACGCATTTTGGTCATATTTTTCGCTAATATTTTCGATTTAAAATACACAGTTTTAGAAAAACATAACTTACCAAAACAACAAAACTGAAACAAATAATTGTTTCATCTTAAAGTGGAACCATGCTTAAAAACCCGAATCATCAAATTTAATTGCCTTGCCTTGCCTTAACATGAAAATTTCAGATGTCTCCACTGACTTATGATGTGGTGATTTTAAAAATGAAGTACTAAAATATTTTAAAAATTAGTTTCACTCAAGTAATAATTAAAATAAATGAATTATGGTGCTTTAAGTATTACAGCAACCACCTTGCAAATCGACTGATTTTCAGAATGCACAAACTCTGGCAATCCTGCGCATAGCAGTTCTTCAGTTTTTAGCAGCAACATCGCCATTTTTGTATGCGTTCTTTTTGTTATCTCTAAGTTCCTATGAATTTTATGGCTAAATTATTTTTTTAAAATTTAATTTTAAAATAAGGGCCTCTGGAATTATCCTTCAATGAAAGAAAGTGTGGTAAACTTTCTACAGGAATATAGCACTTGCTGCAAAGTCGTGAAACGGAACAATTGCTTTGAAATTATCCTTAAAACGACCAGCAAGAAATTTTGGCCAGAAAAAAAGAAGAAAAAAAAAAGCCGATTTTAAGTACGTTTGTTGACGGATTTCTGGGGTAAATACCGTGTAATCCAAAAGTAATAGAAAACGTATAAATTTGGTAATTCCAAGTATAGATAACACAACGATGCGGTTTTCACAGAAATATACTTTTATTTGTTAATTTTTATAATAAAGACTTTATTGCTCGAATTATTACATTTTTCTTTTGGTATAGCTCAAATTTTAATTTACAAAACTCATTTAGAGATTATCACGCACACAGAAAATTCACAGCCCACTATATTTGCATATATACGTATTATTATTTTTTACTGCTTTTATTTTTTTCACATTATAAACTCTGAATGCATTTTTGAAAAAACAGAAAATGAAAAGAAAAAAAAGTTCATTAAAAACAATTAGATTTGTCTGGTGTTAACGTTTCCCAGTTCAATATCCGTTTAGTTCACCGTTTCGTTTAAACAGTATTTTACTCGAAGAATCAACTTTATCCAAAGTGAGTGCAGTCATTTCGGATATTTTTTTTTAGTTTCTAAAAAGGAAAAGGGAAATGATTTCTTTTTTACAAGCATCATTATCGACAATAGTGCGTTTTTGAAATTCTGCATAAATTTCTTATTTACGTCAAAAACTCATGAAATTAAATCCTTTGTAATTAAAAAAAATCATATTTTTTATTTTCATTTTCATTACGATTATCTAAATGAAATTCGCAGAAATGAAGTTATAAAACCGCATGAACAGAATTGTTTATATGTATATGGCGAAGTACACAAGGCTATTTGCCTCAGGAGAGAGATAACTTCGTGAAAAGCTTTCTAAGGGAAAGTGGCTCGTATTAACATTACACATCAACAAAACCACAAAAACACATATCCAGCCAGCCCGTTCTCCCGGATTTGTGATAGCGTCGAATTACCAGGTTTCAGCTATATTAATTATTTCATTCCTCCTGACCCACTAAAATGTTTCGCAATATTTTAAATGCATTAAAAAATGGACTCTTCTGTTATGATATAACATGCGGCAAACAATTTTCTATAGAGAGAGATATGCGGCAATGTTGCCTGTTAGCCACCGTTAAATTAAACGTGCTATTTTTATCTCTTAGATCAGTGATCGTAGCTTCAAGGTTAAAGTATTGCCAATAACAAGTTTTTAAAGGGTGTTATGCTATTTTTTCCCTCTTTGTTAAAATAACTAGCTTAAGACAGATATTTATTGCGTTTAGAAAAATTTTATCACATTCGAAATAAGCTGCTGACTAAAATACGTTTTCTATGCCAGAGGTATCAAGTTAGCGCATTTATATTTATATATATACATATATTTACAAAACACACATGCATATATTTACAGAAAATCGTTGGATTGTGTTAACTAAAAAGCCATATAAACTACTATGTGTCGACCAAAAAGTCATGTTTCTCTAAAAACAGAAAATATAGAAAATCTTATAAAGAAAACACGTGAAATTTAATTTAGATGAATTTTCCCATATTACAGCCATAATTTCC